TTGGTAAGAGGTGTGGGGAGGTTTCATAATTACATTAAGTTAGAAAGCCCATCACAAAGTGACTGGAACAAATCCTGTGTTTTATACCTTGTCAGAAACCGCATGAGCATTTAAGTCATTTGTGATAGCAGCAAAGTTTCCATAGTATACGAAAATCTAGGATTTATGAAGTCGATGAAACAGGAGGGCATCTTCCAAAGCTTTCCAAAACAGACTTTCCACGGAATCAATTTATATCATCAGATGGCCTCTTACGTTGAAATTATTAGGTTCCAATGCAGATTTTATCATTCAGTTTATATGAATAGTCTCCCTTCCAGACGTCTGTCTGAAATATGGCTCATAGCCGGTATAGGAAATGTGTTCATATATTTTAACATTTGCAACAACTTAAGATAAGATGTCAAACTAATTCACTGAATTAGCGATCATTTGCAAATGAAATTTAGCACATGGATGTAACTTGAGGTACATAGGAAATCTTTTGGGGCTCCTTCAAATACTGAAATTAACTTGTGAATTAACATCAAAGTAGGGAGTAGGTTTTGGAATTTTGATTCGCATCAAAAGCAAAAGCCAAGAATTAAACAATCTAAGTCTTTATTATGGCAAGGTATCCCTCAGATCTAGGATGTAATATTTGTATCTTTCAGCGATTTACTTAGCACACATTTATAATACTGAATTGTTAACCAAAATTGCTTTTTTATTTCTAAAAGTGCTTGTTTCTTGGTATCATTTTCCCTCTTGAATTTCATCATGACAAAACACCAAGCCAGAATTTCTAAGAGTTTCAGAATCCACAGAATAACTCTTCCAGGGCCATAAACTACCCAAGAGCGCAGGCCTTTTGCCTGCATGGGCCAAGCTGCCCGGCCTCGTCACTCAGAGATGTCAATGTATCATCAGGGGTCATATCCCTGAGATCAGTATTTGGATAAGGAAGAGATGTGGTGGCAATCTGCGAGGGGAAAATCTCTTCCCATTCCGAAACCACAGCTCTCTTTGGAATTTCTATTCTGCCCTTCCGAGATGCAGTTTCACTAATAAACATCGATGTATGAACTAGATTCACAATTTTTAAGAAAACTGAATGGTGAGATTTTACTTTGGACTTTCCTGCATAGCCCAGGAAGTTCATAGCTCTTCTTCTGAACATAGTTCTTTATCTCAGAAACGAAAACCCTTGTCTCGCCTCCGGTTCACACTCATGTTGAGTCGGCTTGCTCTGGCCAGCTGAACTTTGTGTCATTTAGGTCTTCATTTTCTCCTTCCGTGTCTTTGCCAGTGAGCTCCTGCAGCTGGCTCCCGGATTGGAAGAGAAGAGACTAATGGCAGTATGTCCTTAAGAACCTCGTATTAATATATCCAAATGAAAGCATGCAGATGCTTTTTTCTTTGCAAGAGCAAGTGAATTCACATGAAAGGGGAATAAATTAGATAGTACGGAGATAGAAGAATGCAAATGGATCCCAATGGAAACCAGAATGCACTTCTTCCATTCTGTCCAGGAATTGGTATAATGTAGTAGTAAATTATATTATTTGGAAAAAGCAAGAAATGATAAATTGAGTGTTGCAACATATTAGCTATTTTTCTCTCTCTTTTAAATATGCCTATCTCCTCTCTCCCTAGTTTATCTAGAACAGGCGTCTCTCAGAATCATGAAGTGAGGTGTTGCCCATTAAACACACATTGCCTCTACCTCTTCAGAGGGACCAAGTCTGAATCTTATGGGGTTGTGTCCAGGAATCAGTCTTTCAAAGGGTTTTCCCCAGATGATTCTTGGGGAAACAAATGAAGATTTGAGAATTAATCATGTTCTAAGGAACGAAAATTCAGACTCGTGTGTGTGTGTGTGTGTGTGTGTGTGTGTGTGTGTGTGTGTGTGTAAAATTTGGGCTGAATTCTGCGTTGTGCAGTTCTCATGAGCTTCCCAGGTGTGATCTTCCATCGAATATTCCGACTCCCCTTGCTAATGTGGTTGCTGGGATTGTGAAATTGAGTTAAAAAGAAAATCTGTTCAGCTCATACAACCAGTTGTTGTCCGAACTCACGACTGTGTTTCTTTTTAAAGACAATATGGATTAAGTAGGTCCTAATAAGATCACTTCTATAAATACCATGAAATGAATCTCCTACAGAGGGCCTTTGCTTTTGCTGCTGGTTCTCTCAGAGAAACACGTGGGTCTTCCTCCACTATGGCTCTTTCTCTGGCCAGGTTAAGTTTTCTGCTGAAATGCCAGATAAGCAAAAGGAACTTTTTTTGGCCACCTTATCAAAATAGTAGTCCCCCCACCAACACCTTGTCTGTTCTCCCCTTACCCTTCTTATTTTCCGTACTTTTATCTCTGCACCTCCTTGAGTGGGATGACTTGTTTTCAAGGCCAGGGACCTTGTTTGTCTTAAGCATCCTGACATCGTCCACTTCTTGAGGTTCCCCAGACACCCAGCCAATATGTATCGAGTGAGTGAATCTATTGATTGGTAAGGATTAACCGGTGCATAAGAACAACACATATAAAACTCAGCATATAGAAATTTGTTTGCACCTCAGTCTAGAAGTGATAAAGGTTTCATATTCCTGGTCAGATGAAAACAATGCCTGCCAGACTCTGACCCAAGGAAGGTGTGGTGTGGAGGAATGAGACAAGCCCTTCCAGCTCCATGATCATCTCCCGTGTCAAGGACTCCCTACAGATCTGTTGCTGGCTTCCTCCTGGATCAGCAAATGTTTGCAAGCTTTAATTTGCAGATTTAATTTATGCTTTCTAAAAAGGATCACACCTCTTCTTGGACATTTTAATCTTTCTTTGCCTTTTGGACTTCTTTCCTGAGATCTTTGCAATCATCCATTAAAAAGCAACACTAAGGTAAACTTTAAGATTCTTGCTCCTTGCCTGGGACCCTTGGTCATTAATGTCTGATTCGTGGTTCTAATGTAGGTTTCCTCAATTGCAGTTAATGCTTATAACAGAAGATTTTCACATGGCCCTCAGATCACGCCACTCTTCAGAAGATCATCTGATCCTTTGGTTGCTTGTTTTGGGTGTTTTTAGAGACTTAGAGTCAAAGAATGGTGATAAAGTTACAACTCTAAATCTACCAGGGATAGATAACTTTCATTTAACTCTACGACATTTGGATACAATGACTGTTTCCTTGCTTTTACACTCGTTAAATCTTTGGCAATATTATCAAACCCTTCAGAAGAAGGAAGAATTGACAGCAGGAACTCAAGGCATCCCGTCCTTAAATATATTCCTGGAAACTATGAACATGAGATAATATTCAGTGTGATGTTGGCATTTGATAAATCAGATGCAATGAACCTAATTATGCAAAACAGTTATTTTGAATCTATCATTCATCTGAATGCTGTCTAAATCAGAACTTATTTAATTACTAGGAAACGGAAAGGTAAGGAACTTGCTAGCTCTTTTCCTTCCCTTTCCTCAAAACATTCCCTAATTTTTATTAACACTGAATTCGTAGAATTCCCAGCACTGTCTCAGTCATTCAGATGTGCTCTGTTTAGTTTATTTAAACAACCGGTGTAAAATCTGAGGTTAAAATGGATTTCTCTGCAAGCAACTTTGGAACTCTCAAATGGGTTTTTCCTCAGAGATTCTCGGTGGGAGTATTAAAATCCTTGGGGTCACATGATCCCAAGGAAGCAGGACAGTCGCTGAGCATTGAAGAATTTGACGCTAATGTGGTCACTAGGGAAAGCCTTGGACCAGCTCACAGAGACAGAGCTGCCCGCAGACACCAGCGACATCAAGGAATTCCACAACCCCGTTGCTTCAGACTGGAAGGGAGAGCTCTGAATTCGGGCCGTTCAGAGGCAGCTGGCAGTTGAATCCCAGCATGCCTTCTGGATCTCAGCTTTGAAGACTTAGCCGAAGGGTCTTTCCTAGCACCAGCTATTAGCCTCACTGGGTTCTTGTGTGTGCTCTCTGCTCACCATCATTCGATAACCGTCTCTCCTTGCTGCCCCACATCCTTCCTGGTCCCTCGGTGTCCTCCAGCCCAGCTGGCCCGGTGGAGAACATTCTCTGGGCACTTTGGCTCCTCTGATTCTGACAGTACCTAGGGGAAAATACTGGCTCTCAGTCAACGTCTTCCTGCCTGGGTATCAGGTCAGCCTGTTAGCCCTCACGGAATGCTCTTTTGCTCATGTCTGCAGAAGCTCCCTGGCCCACAGCGTCGCTTCGAAGTGACACCTCTCCCCGTACAATGCAACGAAGTGACACAGATAATGATTTACAAAGACTACCAGGCCAGGGGTGCGTAGCCTCAGCTTATGAATTAAACCAGTTAGGGATGGCCCTTTGTGCCTTTTTCAGAGGAGGGTAAATGACACGCAGGCGCTTCGGTTTGGCGGCGGGTAAGAGTAAAAATGTGGCTTGCGTGTCTATTCCTTTAAACTCTGCTTCTCTCAGGGAATTAGGCCATTGTAGGTCAGGGTATTTCAGTCCATTCATTCTCCAGGAGGAAACTGCTGACTAGAAGGACTCCTGCTTCACTTTTCAGGAACACCATCAGGACGGCTTGCCGTCCCGGCTTATTCATTGGGTCATCCTTTCAAATTATCATTTCTGCTGCAAACTTGAAGGTGCAAGGGCTCTGGGATAATAAGAGGTTTTTAGGTCTGACTGGTCCGCCCAGTTCCTTTAGTGAGGAAGCCGGCCACGTTCGGTAGGCCGAGACTAGCGATGTCTCCCCGGCCCAGGGCTGGGTGCTTTTGTCTCCAAATCATTATCATCCTTATAGGGAGATCAGGTTTGGGAGCCGAGCTAGGCAGCTGGGTGATGCTGATAAGCCGATTAGCTCGACATATTGCTGCCATTTCATGTTATTCATTTGATTTTCTGCAGATTTCAACATTTCTGTGCAAAAAAAAAAAAAAAAACAAACAAATTCAAATATGGCTTTACTAAAGCGAGTTCTGTTTGGATGTCGGTTGGGGCTCAATGTCGCCTGTTAATTTCTTTCAGCTGGGTCGCGGGCCTCGTACAGCAGCCAGCACGGCCACCTGGGCCCGGAGCTTCGGGCTCTGCAGTCCCCGGAGCACCACATAGACCCCATCTATGAGGATCGCGTCTACCAGAAGCCCCCTATGAGGAGTCTCAGCCAGAGCCAGGGGGACCCTCTGCCGCCAGCACACACGGGCACTTACCGCACGAGCACAGGTGTGTATTTAAGACACCTCTGGGTGGCCCGTCCATAGGGGCGGGGACATGGGGGGCGGCTCGGGACCCCATGAAAGGGCTGTGTGTGTGTGTGTGTGTCCGTCCACATCTGTGCCCTCTCTGCTCACAAGCATATGGTCTGCTTCTATCATTAACGTCTGGGATGATAAAGAGAAACCAAGTACGACTCGTTTAGCTACCTGAAGATATTTTAAATGAAAGAAGTTTAATGAGGGTTGTATGCTTCTGTTGTCTAACAGGCACACTGAAAGAAAGAGTGCTGATTTTTTGTATGTCATCATCCACATATTTAATGAATTTAAGTACTGCAACAAAGCCTCGTCATTACACGGGATATAAAAGGCATGTGCCTAAGGCATCTAAGTGTTCTTTAACAATAGCCTCGCTAGTTGGCAAGCTTGGGGAAACCGTATTTACTAAAAATGAAGCATGTCTTGTAGGGCCAACTGAGAATTTACTTCATAGATGCTATCAGGTGGAATCAGATGGAATTATTATTTAAAAGTCGAGTATCGACAGTTGTCTACGATTCAATCAACCACAGGGCTCTCCTGGGTTAAATATATTTTTTGAATTGAGCACAGCCACAGGCTGGGCGAAGAAAGGCAAGTGTTTTCCAGAATATGTAGCCATTTGCAAAATAACTGGTCAAATGTCATGATTAAATGTGCTAGAGAGCCTTCATCTAACTACAAAATTGATATAATTAAGATGTTGAGAACTACACTTATTACAAAGCCTCCCATGGCTAAGTAAACTTAGAAAATATGATGCTGCCGGTTTGCACACAGCAGAGCTCTGTCCCTCACTTCAAATGACCCGTGTTACCCTGGAACAGGGCCTCGGGCATGGGAAAACTGAAGCTTTGCTCCAAAACTTGGCACACACCTCCCTGCATCTTCAGACCATGGCAACTTCCAGTAACCACAAAGCAGAGCATAGCAATTTTGTTAACTGCATTATGATACTAAATTACACGTTTTGAAATGCAGGCCAGCGAAGTTGCTTTTATGGTTGATTATTGATATGTACATTTCAGTGTTTTACTGCATCATAAGAAGAAAGGCACAAAATGCTTTCTTTTGTTTTTGACATCATAAATGCCATCCAATGTTAATAATACGTATCTTGGTTCAGATGCAAAAGAATACCCATTTATTCTTCTGTCAGAATTCTCTCATCCTTTGGCCTGCTAGAACCACTCCTGTCTGAGGTTGGGCTATTTTAATGTTGAGCTGGCCACATATTAGTAACAAAGGTGGTTTTATGTCCACGCACCCCTTACAAGAGACAGAGATAACCTCAGCGATGCTCAGTATGTAATTTTCGAAGACACGGACCACGGAACGGATTATGTTCATTTCTCTCTCCTGTATTCATAGGCTCTTAGAATTCTTTTCTTAATAAACTTGGGGGTTTTGCAAAAATTTATCTACACTAAGAAAAAAGTACTTCATTCTTCTATGTCACATTAATGACATGAGATGTTCACACTTTAAAAACCAATTAAAACAAAACAAAACTGGTGTTTTCTCTGAGCCCGGGGTCTGAAAACTCCAGCTCTGGGCCAAATCCGGCTGGACCACCTGTCTGAATCCTGCTCATGAGCTAAAGATGATTACTACCTTGTTAAACGGTTTATAGATGAAAGACGGGTAATATCTTCTGATGTGGAGAAGTTATAGGAAATGCAAATTGCAGTGTCTATAAATAAAGTTCCTGGAACGCAGCCACTTCCATTTGTGCCCGTATCATTTCTAGCTGCTTCCAGGCCATCACAGCTGAGGTGTAGTTGTGACAGAGACCATATGGTTGGTAAAGCTGAGAATGTTTACTTTCTGGAAAAGTTTGCTGACCCCTGCTTTAAGCCATCAGCGGAGCACGGCGCTGAATGAAAGAACAAGGGCTTCATCCTTCCTATGAGGAAAGGCAGCAGGTCCTCTAAGCGTATCAGAGAAGAAGATTTGTTTGCCCGAGTTTTCTCAGGAACAGTAATCTCTGCCCCAGCAGAGAGCTGCTGAGGTTATGACATCTGGATATCTAAGACCCCACCCCAGCCTGTCCTTTTGAACTTGAGGCATTTTTGAGGACATACGCTGATTTATGTAATAATATGGAAATTTCCAGAAATGCATGGATGGATGGGATGACAGGTGGGGAGAAACCGCCTCTCTCCGGCTCCCAAGTATAAAGCCACAGGTTCTTTCTCTTCACCAGCTCAGGTTACTCCCTGTTTGTACACTTAATGTATTTTATTTCACATCCTTACACTTTCTTAGCTAACCCCGCAACCCCAGAAACTGTCTCTATCAGAACCCACATGTTCGAGAATATGCCGTTAACATGGGGGTAAACCCTTTCCTTGTAAATTACATAGGTCTTAGACAATATTATCAAATTATATTTAGTAAAAGAATTAACAGTTAATATCAAGGAACTTTCTAAGATTGTTTTCCTGTATTCGGGAGGTCATTTTCCACATCGGGTATTGTACACACCGCACACTCGAGACCTCTGATGCAGAACTTTAAGAGGCTTCTCGGGCCAGAGCCGATACCCCAGTTTCTTTGGAGGAGAGGACAGGTTCTTATAGACCTGTTAGACTTGAAGTATTAAGGGCCACTGACTTCTGGCTCACATCTGTGGCTGAGGTGGTTCGAGCCACCCGTCTCCTGTCTTAGCCCTTGGGTAGCAGAACACTGACTGGATTCTCTTCAGTTTGACCCGTCAAGCACTTCCAGATGCTACCTCAAGGAGAGTAAGCCAAGGGGCTGAAGGTTGCTTGCTCTTGTTCAAGTCTTGTTCAAGACTCAGGAAGGAAGACAAATGGACTTGCCTAAAAAAATTAGGAAATTACAAGATGGTGCCATAGCATGGAGCGGGCGAGACAGGAAGACAGAGCACGTAGCATGGTGCTGCTTCCGGGAATTGTTCCACATTCTTTGAATGTATTTACAAATCCTCAGAACTACCCCTTAAAGGAGGTACTGATAGGACGCTCACCTTACAGAACACGGAGGCAAGCAATATGGGGTCCTCTTCTCAAGACCACACGGCTTATGTGGAGCCCATTTTCAAACCTTCACATGCAGGCAGTCCTGCCCTGGGTCCTGGGCTCTTAACAGCCATCTTGGTTGGAACTGTGTGTGTTAAAGTCATCATTTAAAAAGAAAATAAATACCCATCCATGTTCATTGTGGTTTTTGTATCCTGTCAATCAAATAGTATCTGTTGAATACTCACCATGTGCTAGATACACCGGCAGAGCCAAAGAAGCTTCTACTTACTCCTTGTCCTCAAGCCCATTCAGTCTCGTTCCATAATAGAACATGAACATAAGGAAAATTAACTGGCCATGGAAGATAATATCTTAAGGATTAGAACATTCCAGATGAAGCTGAAGACAAAGTGTGAATAAAAACACTAAACAATACGTAGTATCTTTTAATTCCCAGATAACCCATAACTCCTGATTGTGCCTTAGGTAACCTCCCCACCCCCCACCCTGGCCCAAAGCCATGCTCCCCTGTTATCCGGCAGCAAGTAGAGGCTTGGCAGGTGCATGTACTTCATCCACATCTGCCCTTGGTCATTCGGCGCTGCAGCTGTGCTCCCCGCTGGCTCTGGTTCCCGGGCACTGTTCTTAGCTCTATGGCCTCTCTCCTTTCCCTGCCCTGCCTGGCCCTGTGCTGACCCTATCCCTGCATCTCCCTTACCCCAAACACCACGAAGGCTGTCCTCAGTAATAGACTATTCTAGAGCTGAGAGACCCGGGGAGATGGCTACATGGAGACACTCAGGACACAGCTGCAGGCATTGAAACTGAGACCTGTTCAAGCTTCCTAAACTTCCCCAGCAATGGGGTCCACCGGGAGATGCCTTCATTAGCTTTCCCCCCTCGGACTCAGCCTGCTGCCATCCTCATCCATCCTCCTCTCTGCCTGCCTCCTCCATGTCTCCTTGGCCACCAGAGCAGCCACTCACCCCTGTTACTTACTGAAAGACCGATTTAAATCTCAGACACCAACTCATACAAAGACAACGATCCACCTTTGGGTGTGCCGGAAGGTCTTCTGGGCTTTCTCAAACCAAAAAGCTACCTAACCACATGGTGAAAGGTCTTATTCACGTGTGCTTACGTACATGTTAGGGAATCGGGTGCTACAATCCTGCTTCTGGCCTCTCTTCTGCTCCAGCCTTTGGGGGAGGTGAAACATACAAACTTGGTCCAGTACTCAACTGGAAATCTGTAGTACCTCATTCTGCAGAACGGGCAGGGCTGGGCCAGGGATCATGGTCTGAAGAGGGTCTTCTGCTCCTGACACCGACATTTCATGCTTCTGCACCCCAGCCTTTGTGAGATGAGAACCGCAGACCTTTTCCCCCACCTACCTTCAACAGAAGGGAGCAGGTTCTGAGGGTGGCCTACTGGCCTTCCGGGGCCCAGACATGCTCTAGTAGGAAGGCAGAGGGCACGTAGAGCAGCTGCCCGCATGCCTGAGGACAGGATTGAGAGAGAAGCTAGCATCGAGGCCCCAGAGATCCAGCAGCCTCCGAGTAGGTAAAAGAGTCACTTCCTGAATCAGCAGCGTTATCTGCTCAGCAGAGCTCCCCAGAGAGCATCCCCTCACCAGACATGACAGTCACTCATTTCTTGTGGAGCCAGGAAATGAGGGAGGAGAGGCCACCATCAATGTCCTCTCCATGTGCAGGGAGGCGGAACTGTGTGAGCTACAGCAGAAAAGGCAGGCCAGTGAGCCCGATGGTGGCCGGAACATGCCCACTTGCTCTTACGGGATCTCTACCCAGCATCTGACACTTTTCTTTCTGGTGTGATGAGAATTTAAAGAGGCACACTGTTAACTTGGATGTCTGTTTAAATAAAACATACCTTTCATCTGGGATAAGGCTTGTCAAAACTGGAGCTTATATCGTAAGAGGCAGAGCCAGACAAGGAATATGGGATCTTCTTGAGCTTG